AGCTCTACTGACATATATATATATATATATATATATATATATATAGTGCAAAATGTGCCCATATCAGACTAGGTGTACCCCACCACTCTTAAGGTCACTGAAGACTCTTCGACAGCCTACGACCGGTTTCGCCCTTCTTAAGGCTCATCATTTAAGTTCTTCCAAACTCATTTCCCACTTGAACTGTTATTCGACAGATTTCGACAATCATCCTCATTTGCATATGCATATGCTTTTGACAGGAGCCTCAGCTTAATCCAAATGAATCTCTCGTCCAGGATAGTCTGCTTCATTGTTGTGAACTTCTCAGCAGCGAGCTCGTTACACGGTTCTACCGATATTCAAGGCTACGGTCAGTTAGCTAACTTTGGATAGGATGCAAGTAAGAGTCCACCTTCTTAGCTACAAGGTCAGTTGTCCGGATGTTCCAGTTTTGCCTTTATAAACCTGGAAGCATCTTAACTCTTGTGTTTTCTTCCGTTTGAATATCAATCAGAAACGAAACCCCATTACAGCCGAATGACTTCTTTATCCAATATTGACCGTTCAGTCCGTCGCAATCACCTAATAATGTGCAACACAATAACCAGCTGATTTTTTCGTAAACGCTATGGGATTATTGAGAAAAATATGTTATCAAGCTGAGTTTTTAGGAATCGATCTATTCTGTTAGTTGGTACAGCTAAGCAGACCAAGTCCCATGCGTTGTACCAGCAGAGACAAGCATGGCGAAGTTCAGATCGATCTTTAGGCTTCAACCTTAATGAAACAGTTTGCGTACTTTGAGCCTCGGGTTTAGTGTGGAGATTAGTCATTAATTCACCGAGACGGTTTGAAATTTCGACCTTGAATGGTGATTTATTCAAGGAATAAATGACTGGGCAGCCCTAGTAGCATCTCGGATGCTCCATTACATGAATATGCGTAACGAAAACTTTTGATGTCAGCTTCTTGTGTACATATATCCTTTCAGCAGCAAACGTAGGTGGTTCAAGGTTACTTATGTCGTCGGATCTGTGGAAGTGTTGCATGGACTTGGATGTAAGCTGAATTGAGCAGAAACGGGCGCTATTCATCAGTTTATACGACCGTCCATCGACGGTTTGTCCTGTTGGTTGCTGGAAATGGGTACACATAGAGACCCTGTAACAATTCGTAACATAGCTGATGCGTACCGTTTTCCGCTCTCAGCGTAAGAAGTGCCTTCAGCTGTTTTTCTTCGTAAAACGCCTCTCCAATCTTTATTGGCTGAAACGGTGACAGATCACAGCGGCAGGTTTCATTGGGTGACAGTAGCTGTATGTTATCTGTTGGCAGGAGAATAATGGAAAATCTGTTAAGGAGTTTCCAAACTGGTCTACTATATACAAAGTACAGAAAAGACTTGATATTGAGAATTTCATGGGATTAGGTGAAAACTCTTTCGTAGTGATGTGTTTAGTGCAACTGAGTTTCCGTCGTCTCGAGTTCAAAGGGCCCTACAGTAAACTGTTTGCAATGACATAATAGTGTTAATGCTAACCTATTCAACGACATTCTAATCTAACTCTAGAGTAGGTTGACAATCGTACCACTGAAGATGGCACGCTTCTGTATCCAAGAACGAATGTAATATCGTTGCTTGTTCTCAGTCAGCGGACTCTCTCGTATGTGCTCCAGCGCAGTTCAATTTCTCGAAAGTGTACATCTCTGGCCTTGCTATAGAGGAGAATGTTAGTAATTCAGGTAGCATAGATGGTCTTTGGTTTGTTCGCCGAGCTGTGCAATTCGATTACAAGCGTTTTATCGTCAATCGATGTGAAATCATCAGTGCGTTGTTAGGGAGCGTGGTGGAGTGTAGTTATGGTTTGGTGGTTGCGTGTAACTTTTTTCATGCGATAAAGTTAGACAAATTTTCGGGCTCAGTATTTCTGGGACCACAAGAAAGCCACTTTCGGAATAGAGAGGGGGTAAGTTAGAAAGGGCGATTTTCACTCCACTTGTGCATTCCAATTTGTGAATATGCTGTTCTATCCACTTACCTCGTGCCACCGTTCGATCTGGTATTGGTAGAGTTGTAATGTACAAACTGACAGGATGGCTGGGCAGTTCCTTTCCTTCGAAGACGGACACCGCCTTGACCTGCATGATGTAAACGTAGGGTAGGGAAATTTGAGTGCCATCATAAAATCTGTTTTAACTAATCGCAAATTAAACATATTGCTGAGTTTGAGGAGAGCACTTCTGTCTCTTCTTAATTATCTAATACAACTTTGACCCAATATGTTACATCCGCAGAATCCGAGGAAACGCATTTACTCCACTCGATGCTTAACTGCTAGTAAGTGTTCCGTTTTGGTTTGTATACCATTTCTTTCGATATCCTGGTCGCTTTTCTCTTGTATTGACTGACCTTCTAAGCACAGCACTACTGGTGGGCCGTTGGAGTGTGCCGAGTGATATCGATAGATCACTTGGTACCTTTCATTTCGGTGGATTGCTTCCTTCACGTGGACAAAAGGAAACAAAGGTGGTACTCTTCTTGCGTGATCTGAATTGATCGACCAAAAAATGAAGTAGGCAATAGATAGTAGAATATGTGCTTCACGAAGTCTGGTAGTTCCTACTACTGTTCCCCATCACAGTAACTCAACCAGATGAAAATTGTCTAAAAAGACGTTGGGGTAGCTGAGGTTAAGGCCTAGATTTCTTGAGCTTAGCAGTGTTCAACGGAATAGCGAGTGCTTTGCTAGCATTGTTCAGGTTCATCATCATCATCATCATCATCATCATCATCATCATCATCATCAGCATGACATCAGTGTTCAACACCGATGCTTCACTGCCGTACCGTCCAGGTTCAGTCTACTGTGAAAGCAAGAATGGAAGGGCGAATCTACCGACTGATGCCAGCACATAGCCTACCAATCCTCCTTAGCTTATTGCGTTGATCAGCATTTAACATACGGTTTACGGGACTGCCACACTGCCAGATCTTTCAATATCCATCCAGTTTCAGTATATTTTCTACCACAAAAAAATCATTTCAGTCGGGATTTAACAAACAGGACAAGTTAAATCCAACTTGATTTTTGATGCCTTCAAAAGAAACGTACCTCGATTTTGTAGGATGTTGCGGGTTCCAGGTTCTCTATTTGGTAAACTGTTTTGTCCTGTATAAAAGCAACATTGTCGGTTAAATAAGCAGGAGGGTACCCCAAAACATGTGTAAGAACAACAACAAGAGCTAAGCTCTCTACGGTCTTTAGTGTGAGAAGTTTTGTCCAACTAGTAATCTCTGTTATCACTCGCGTTTGTCCGTGATCTGAGCCACATCAGTCATAAGGGTTGCATCTGACATTTAACCTGGTTGGTAGTCGATCAGGTGACTGCTGATCGGTTCGCCGAGCCTGGCAATTGATTTGCAAACGTTTCGTCATCATTCGAGGAGGCATCTTTAAGGCCACCGAATTAACTACCAATGAATGCACCCGGGCTACCAATCTTCAACACATATAACTTCGTGTTTGAGTAGGAAGAGGAATTCGGGAAATCGGCCTACCTGGTGAGCTTCAAGAGGATCCACACCACTAGTGGACTGTCCAGAGATTTTATTAGTCTTATGAGTAGTACTGAAAAATCAAAACTAATTTTCTTCGCGCCATGTTACCCAATTCTGTATATTCACCCAACTACTCTTCCCTCTCCCACAATGAAACGGTTTTTGGAACCAGTATCAGGTCAAAATTAATCTATGGCCCCACATTAGTTTACCTCAAAAGTGTTGCAACTGCTCTATGGTACTTTCCCTCAAGTACTGTGTAAACGTCATCCTCCGTGCTAACCGCATAATTCTACGATCTGCAATCAAATCCGTCAATAAGATAACCCTCATAAATGAGGAATTTGAAAACTTTTGGGTTTCTATTTCAAAAGACGCGGCGCATCAGTTACCATAAACTATCCTACATTTTTTCACCACTAGGTTGAATCAGAACCACATGTCACTAAGCATAAGGTCCAGGTTTCTAACTGAATCCTACCTCGAAATCCTCTGTCAATTGTTGGATGCACACATTCTGGATGCAGATGTGCTTAGCTAATCCCGCTTCATTTAGACCACATGCTTTATTCATCAGTCTCCCGAAAATATCAAATTATTTTGTATCTCATTTAGTACTCACCCCAGGAACATTAGCTTCGTATTCCGTGAACGATCCACGATCGCCACCATTGAATCCATAATATCGACGCCATGTAATCTGTGGAGTTAGTAAAGTAATACAGATTAGGCTGATTCCAGTCAGCATTCTGTCGGGACAAACGAAATACCAATGACTGAAATATGTTAGACATGTGTAAGGGATGCTCAAATCAAAACAAAGGTCATGTATTGCAGTATTCAGAGCTCAAACCCAAGGCAAAAATAGTGATATTATAAGAAGCCAGCAGACGACTTCGCAAAAGGGTTCGGTTAATGTTTTGAAGCTTGATCAAGTTTCATGGTTCTCTTGACTACCGAGATTAGGTTTTGAGAGTCAGGGAAATATTCGGAAACCTTCGCCTCACGGTTAAATCATCGTGGGCCTCATCTGTAAATTTTGGTGGCACGCCAAAAAACTCTGTACATGGATAGTAAGGGCTGTGTACGACGAACAAACTATGGTGAGGGCAACTCACCTGGTACTTCTTAAGAGGAAGATTTCCTGCCAATGGGGGTTGCCACTGAATTGTGACATCGACGACGCTTTCAGATATTCTGGAGCGGGCTTCCGTCAGATTTCTCGGACTTGATGGAGGTATTGGCCTAGTCAATATTTTGATGGGCCTACTGGGTTCGCCCCAGCCTCCGTGGCCAGCACTGGATATCGCCAACAACCGAAACTGATACCAAGTGCCCGGACGAAGATCGGATAATACTGCTCCAAGTTTTGTTGTCTGTGTTGAGAAGATACATAAATCAGTAATAAATTATGCTTTCTACAAGCGATTAATTCTTACTATTTATGCCCCTTAGTGAAATAAATCCAGGTAACCAATTGTTAACCCTGATGAATAATCGTACATAAAAGACCTGTTGTGTAAACGGCCAGATCATAGTCCCTAGATAACTAATATCGTTTCAGGCAAAAGCTTTCAAGTATCATAACCCACTTTGGACAACGTAGTGATTACAAATGCGGATAAGGGCAAGGCCACCGTTGTCATGAACAAGATTGATTATCTGCAGAAGACCAAGCAACACCTAGCTGAGGATCCTTACCAGGTGATCGATAATGCGAATATTACGTCTATGATGAGTAGGAGTAAAGCCGAAGTTGGTAGATATTTACGGTCTGTGATAAACCACTTAGGGCAAGGCAACTGGTATCGATTGTACCCCACAAGTGCAATCCAACCACGGCTTTATGGCCTTCCAGAAATCCATAAACCAGATGTCCCGGTGAGACCGATAGTACACGGAATAAGTTCTCCACCGCATGAGCTGGCCAAATTCTTGGCCGGTATTTTAAAACCCCTTAATGGAAGATTTATTACTTACATTAAGAATTCGTATGACTCTGCCAACAAAGTAACCGGGACCACCGCTGAACCAGATGACATCCTTGTAAGTTTTGGTGTCAGTTGGTTATCTACAAATGTGCCAAAAGAAGACTGCTTAGAAATAGCTAAGCGACTGCTACTGGCGGACCCCACCCTTTCAGAACGGGCACAGCTCACGGTGGATGAAGTAGTGGAAGGCATAGAAAACATGTCTGAATCTCATCCACTTCGTTCTCGACTCCGTGGTTTACACTCAAGAGCAAGGTCTAGCAATAGGATCTCCAATATCTCCGATTTTGGCAAACATATTTATGGAAGAATTTGAACAGACAGCTTCAGTCGGATCCCCATACCTACCAAACATTTTCTGGCGTTATATAGATGACACTTTCGTCGTGATGAAACGAGACAAGACTAGTGAGTTTTACAACTATCTGAATGAACTGAGTCCATATATCAAATTTAATATGGAGACAGAGCCATCCTCTTGTACACTGGACTTTCTAGACTGCATGATACATAAGATTGGGGGGAAACCAAAGACCACAGTGTACGAGAAACCAACCGACACTAGGGCACTTTTGAACTACTCGTCTGCCCATCTGAAGTCGGTATTCCCTAGTCTCTCCTCATCAATGTTTAGGCGTGTAAGGACCCTGTGCACAGAAGAAGCTGATCGGACAGCGGCCCAAATTGAAATAAAGAACAAACTTGGGGGTAGTGGATATCCAGCTAGCGAAACCCAACAGGGAATGGATCGGGACCACTGTTATTCCATATAAACTAGGGATATCGGAGGTCGTTCGAAGGATTCTAAACACGGCCAACATAAGAGTAGCTTTTCAGAGGGGAGACACTGCGCTTTGCACTGGTACAATTGAAGGGTCGCCTCCCGGCACACACAACCCGGGGCTGTGTCTACAAAATTAAGTGTAATGACTGCACTAAGGTCTATGTAGGACAAACAGGCAGATAACTTCACACCAGAATTGGAGAGAATAGGAGGAAAATAAATAAGCTACCGAGAAACAGATGAGTAACAAAAGCCACTGAAACAATCAGCTATTTCGGAGCATGCACGGGACACATCGCATAGAATGGATTTAGAAAATGTTGAGGTTTTGAGGTAAGGACTACGGTGCACGTCACAGAAACTGAAGGCCGAGGCGGTAGAAATCGACAAGCATCCCAGTGCTAACAGAACAGAGAGCGCAGGCCTGGAAAGCCTGTGGAGAACGCTTTCGGATCAGTCGAGCTGACACGTGTTTGTGTGCGGTCATCAGAAGGAGGAGTAGTTATCATCTGAATTCCACTTGACCTGACCCTCTCCTCGGTCAAACTAAAATGTCGGGACACTCACAAACCCACAAAGACCAAGGAAAGTCTACCAGTGGCGCCTGAGGTGAATTGTCAGTTGAAGCACCCTGAAGTGGGAGATTAAGAAACCGAACCCGATCAGAATTAATTTGAAACTCCACCAATCCACCAACGCAAGATTTTGACAACCACACTAACCAACAAGAGCCGATAATTGACACTCAACCCTGATCTAGTGTGGTAATCTGAGGGAATTTTATTTATTGGCTCCCCGTCTGCCTTATAAAGTGGCCAATTTGGTAACCTGCTCGCTTGAAGCTTTTGTGTCAAAGGTGAAACGCTGCTCAAATAAAAAGAACTAACGTTTTGTATACCAAGCTCTTCTGAACCTTAACACAATATTGAGAATGAGGTACTTTGATGAGGCGATACACTGCCGTGCCTATAATCCATAAAGATATTCTTATGGCGGAAAACAGGAAGCCTGCGAGGGCCTCGGAGAAAGTGGTAGGTGCTTTCTAATATTTCACGGGTGATAGGCGGCTCGACATTGCCAGAGAAGTGAATCTGTGGGATGCGATTGGAAAGTGTCGTGAATACCAATGTTTTATTCACAAAGTGCTACATGAAGATAGCCGTACATATGGTGAATATATTCCACACTCCCAAGCAGCATTCCAATGACCGGAGAATCCGACGTTTCGGTGCCGGTCGGTTCGACCTTGACGACTCAATAAAAATTGTCTTAGTAATTTTGCCTACTTTTATTGTTTTTAGTAGTTGAGTTTATATGCATGAGAAATGCCTCAGGCCTGGAAAATCTCATTGATAGCTGGCATGGCTAGAAGGCAATGAAATGCATAGATAGTTATTGGAAACCCGGGCGGAATATACAGGTTTGAAAAAACTAACGAATCAATTCGGTAGCAGATCTCTGGAGAAATTCAAACCACCACCAGGAAATTTTGGTGATCCCTTTCATATATATCTTATTACTCATGTAGACGCGTCCGCGATCACATCTGCTTCACTCCATATCATGCTTATAACAAAGTCAAAAGCTAGGTTATTATAGTGGAAAAGGCTCTGTAAGCACTCAGGCTCACTCCTTACTACTCAAGGATAGAAGTGGTGCCTTTGGCTTCTAGCGACTTAGTAGTATACTGGTGGGAGATCCTAACCGATACATGTCTGTTTGGGGAACCTAATAACAAACTGTGTTTTGCTGCTTATTAGTGTAGGCATTTGGATATAACCGTTGATCTGTTCACCAAACTTGGTATCTGGTTTGAAAGCAGTGCACGATGATTTTGTCACCGAGAACGATGCGCACCGATGAGCTGTATTCAGCCAGTGAAGCAGTGTTTGTGGAAAAGTTGCCAAGCTCGGCGAACAGATCAACAGCCATCTGATCAGAAGCTAATAATACTTATAATCGTTCAGATGTAGCATCCTTTCGGTACCTAGCTGCCATGTCACACGAAGGAGGCACGAGGGGTCGGATACTGCCAGGTCACCCAAGCCTAGACAGGGGAGGTCGAGAGGCAGAGGTCGGGTTCGAACCACGGACCTTCCGGTCAGTAAATTCGCGCTCTAACCACTTGGGCCATCTCGCCCCTGATCAAAAGCTAGTAAACGTACGATAGCTCCCGAATTTCGACATACTATCAGCTTCGCCTAAGCAAATCGGAATGAAAGTTCATTATTCCTTACGGAATAGTGGAATACACCAAAACGATTCAGCGATAACTGTTTTCCGATTGGGCGAAATGGCATTTTGGTAGCCCTGTCAATTTCTTGTCCCTACCGCTGGCACTTGGTTACACAATATTTAGAAAAACTGCTGACTGCTGACCCAGCCGGCATGGACGAATTTTTTTATCATGCAATTGTCCGTGAACCAGGTCATCATGCAAAGTAAACAGGTGATGGAAATTGCACAAACAACCGTGTTCGTGCAAAGTGGCTATGAGCAGATCAAAGAACTTTGGCCGGTTTCATTCGCGCGTTGGATCATGAGCGTAACAGAAATCAAATACGATTCGCGAGCGATATACTCAGACAGTATTCCAATTTCACTTGCAGAGGTAAGAAAGCGTACAAGCGTCTAGTAGTCTCTGATTCATATAGGGAAATCATCAGCAGAGCAAGCAAAACACAAAAACAGTTGGTTGATTGTTTGGAAGTTGATCACTGCACAGTTCTGAAAATATCCGAAGTTGTGGTGTTAGGTGTTTGACCCAATGACAGTTGAGCTTCCTGTGGCTCCGACTGGGTATCAAAGGTCGGATAGTTTAACGTGAAGACAGCATACATCTGTATGCAGTCACGTGGGTTTATACAGATCCTACTTAGTTGTGTTCATGGGCACGTTACGATGCAAGTTGAGAGAACATACTAAGAAAAGTGAAGTAAAACTGAAGGCGTGGAAAAACAAAAACAACGTGCATTTACAATCTTGAAGTAGTTGAAGCAACAACTCAATTTCCAAGCTTGGTAAGCAGATCGTCAGCTACCTGATCAACAACCAAAAAGCCTGGTATGAATGGGGAACGAAAACATGACCGGATGGTTCACCATACAAATGCATTATTAGTCTCTAATTGCTGCTGTGCAAATAAAAGGTTAAAATGGCTTATAGCAGCAACTTTCGCGATAGAGTCATGTGAATGCGATTGGGAAGAAAAAACAGCTATTTAGCCATTGCGTTCCATTTGACAACTGGATTTCCGCAACCATTGAGATGTGCTCATCAATTCTTTTCCTTGATTACCTCGTCATTCGGCCTGTTTATATATTGCACAAAAAGATAGTAATTCCGAGTTTATGACTTGTTGGTTGGAAATCAATCCAAAACCAAGGGTACTTACCCAAACTAAACTTCGCCACTCATCAAACAGACGGTCGGCAAATAGTGTAGGATCTATTACATTTGAACCTCTTGCATCAGGGTGGTTTGGGTCTTCAAAAGTGATCGATGCCGAGGGGTCGTGAAACAATCTCAACTGAATGAGAAACACCGCGGGATACAGATTTGGACCCCATCCGTTAGGTTTGGCATGGGTGATGTTGTAGTAATTAAGCCAGTCTAACTCCAGCTGGTGTGTTTCTTGAGTCGGATGGGAACTGGATGTGTTCGCTATCACACTATCAAGTTGTTTCACACTTGGGCGAGCAGGAACAAATGGCACTCCTGGAAAGGTAGTAAAAAAATAGGCTTGATTGACTCTATGAATAGAACACCTCAAAGCTAGGTCCAGACATGTGAGTGGATTGAAAACGTCTAATTGATGTTCTGCAACGCTCCTTTGCTCGACATTCCATCAAGGTTTTTTCATCGAGACGGATTTGAACTGTGAAACTGTTTGCTAACGAATGCCCAAGGGGACTTCCCGTCATCGCTGAATCAATCTCTGTACCCTCCTGGACTTTGTGCTCACGTTTGGCAGTCATGTGACATTTGCCTGGTTAGTCTTAATTCTGCCGTGCTTGCGTACAGTGCGTTCGACCGCACTTATTAATCACTTTTCTATTGTGTAGCAAGTCTTCTGACTGGTAAAACTCCTCGAAACGATTTCATCTTACAATTTATATATTCCACCTGTGTCAGCCAAACGAACAAGGGAAATAGTATTTTGAATCGTGTTTCCGTCCCAATGGGAATCATCAAAAGTTTAAGTGAAGGGAGTGGAGCAACTGTTCAGCAGTGCTCGGTCATTCGGAATAGACTGACTTCATATTTAGTATAGACCTCAAGTTTGAAGCTGCGAAATCACTACACTACCCTTGTTAGCTGCCCAGAAATGAAGATTTTACACATGTTGCACGAGTTGTTTGTCTGAAAACTTGTCATTAGGAGAACATCATATTACGCGATTTCGACTGCATGGTTGAAGAATGATGGGCACCGTACACCTAAGTACACTGCCAATCAGTTGGTCTCAGCTGACTGATAGAGTATTCTAGCTCTTGCCCGAAGGACTGCGCGCCTGAATCTTTCTAGAGCTACATCCTGTTGATGAGTACTAACGAGGAAGAAACACTTGTGTGGTGCTTCTCTGTTTCATGCACTAACCCCACAAAAACAAATCCAAATTACTTTTGTGAGGCTTACTTAAGTAGTCGACCAGTGAAGGGAGGGATCTAGGTTTTCCGTATGTTTTATATGACATCGACGGTAAAAATCGTCATAAAAACCTAGTCTTTTCATGCTACGTACCACTAGATGTGAGTATTCCGGGCGTGCAGATTTGTGTCCAGCTGTTGTTAGCGGGTGCGTTTGACGGGGCCGCACATACGGTAGTTGGACAGCATTTGTGCAAACCCTTCGACAGACAGTCTGCATCTGTACGGCAATGCGGTCCGCATACCGGCGGCCAACTCTCAGGTCGTGGACAGTGTGGTGTCAACAGACCTCTGTTGAATTGGTCCAAGCGAGTGTACAGATCTCTTGCAAAGGTACATGTGTCCAAGCATGTCTGCTCAGAATTGAGAATGTTGACTCTCTCGGCGGTTTTGATATAATCCTAATGAAAGGATAAAAATGTACTGTAAATAGCCTATTGGATAAGAATGAAGTAGAAGTACATGGGTTACAGGAATTATAGTGATTCTTCTTGCTCCCTACTAGTATGCTCGTGCGTGTGAAGCCTGCACTTGCCACAGCGTCAACTCTTTGCATATGTATGGTCCTTATTGTCTGTATTCACATGAATCTATGGAAAACATACTCCACAGAAAGCAGAGGTGAAACGATGGCAAACGGTCACAGTATTATCGCTAAGAAACTGGTTCACTTGCATAGAAAAATGCAGTACCTATGATATCCTCGACTCGAGCCATAGAGACAACTTTCAAATGCGTCGTTCCATTTCATTACCCCTTCTAACACCTGTTCCTGTAATGACTGGTTCTGAATAGAATACTTGTGTCAGTCTTTTCATCAGAAATTCTCATTGCTATACATCCCGACGTTCTTTGCAGTGACTATCCAACAGGAAAATATCTTTGCGAACGGAAGGTTTTTTATCTCTTCGATTTGTTTGATAGGTATTCTACGCTTCAGTTTCCTTAGTGAAAAAAACCCGGTATTCCATCAACATGGAGCTTTTAGGTGGAAACTATGAGGTATAATGAAAAATAAGCTACCTGCATCACCTGTGAATGCCCAGGTGCGCGAGGGCGGCGGCTTATTTGTCATAGTCCAACTCAATCTGACATTCTGCAGATTCAGAAATTTTCCATTGTAGCTATATCAGATTGTACTGTACCCCCCCACTAACTGAATGCAAAAACATCCCGAGACAGCAGATGTCTGGCAACTAATGCAATGTCAGGTACTTAGGTTCAAGGATTGCGATGGCAGCATCGGAATTCGGAGCCACCCTAGGGTCGCGTTTGCCCAACGACGTATAATTCTGAAAACCTTTGCAACATGTAATTCGGGACGACAGTGGCATCCGTTTTTCTAGCGTCAACTTACAAGAATCGCGGCTAAATTAGGCCATAGCCAATCGGAGCAGAGTGCACATTTCACATTAGTCGAACATATGCACCATATATTCTGTGAGTATCTGTGTAAATCAAGGAGAAAACTCATGCATACAGTTGTTCCATAAATAACTTCATTCAGAAGTAGGTTAAGGTTAAAAGTAACGACGTTATCGTTCTAATGATGACTTTGACCGCATGAATTATGTGGAAGTACCAAGATCAAAAAGGTTACGCTGCACTAACACCCTGTTTACCTAATGGCATCCTGGTGAAAAACAGAACACATGAATGCCTTACCGAGAAGCGAACGGACAAGAAACTCGTTGAGAGCACTAGCAGGACAGAATATCGCAGGGTCACGTAGGTCAAGTTGCACCAAGATCGAACGACTAAACGATACTCAAAGGTCAATTGTTGAGAAGAGACCTTTGTCAGGAGCTCAGGTCACGAAAAACAAAACAAGAGTGCTCGTGCATCTCGATTCAGACAGTGACACATTCGATAAGTAAAACAACAAATCGGCCACCGACTCTTATTCACAACGGCAATGTGTTTGCGTCCACGCCGGTGGGAGGTGTGTACTTTGGCAGGGTGGACCGCAGGCGATTCGAATGTTCACCGCGATCATTCTACTGAAGTTGCGTAAATATCAGTACGTTGCTCCTAGCATCACTCTGTTCAGCGTTTGCGCTATATTAAGTCTTTTAGTAAGAAAAGTTCCGGTAATTCTCAAACTATTGACAAGATAGCCAGGATGCAGACCAAGACAACCGGAAGTTTTCCTTACTCAAATGGATGCGCTTAGCCAGCGTATAATTTTGGATGTAACCGCAGACTGAATATTATTCATAAGCACAGGCATCAATAGTGAGTACGAGAAGGCTGTGCTCAAATGTCCCTTAAGATAGACTACCAGGAATTCTATGTACAGCACACCACAATGTGGATGTAACTGTAGTGATTCTCGGGGAATCATTCGCTTTTGAAGATAAGGATGTCATTGATCAGAAATCGATCGGATAGAAAATCCGTGTAAGCCTAATTTCGGAAGCGGCAATATCAGCAGCAAAAATCCAGAATTTTATTTCAAACTGAACATTAAGAATGGGTGGACATTTGCAAAGTTTTCCACCGGCCGTTTTGAGAGAGCTTAGAGCACGGCTTCAGGAGATTATCTCAGTGTGAGCTTCATGCCATGGAAGACGATTGATCGGGGGAGAGGGTTTCCGAAGGAACGTCTTAGTAACGTAAAATAATACGCATATTTTGAACAGCTTTGGCACACTCTTCAGGCACACCAGGAGATTAGGAGTGGATCATTCTATCTTTGAATATTAGTCGAAGCTTTGTGATACATCAGGAGTGAAATACTACATGACGGTGGTGTGACGCGCACAGTTAGATCAATAATCAAGTTTGTTCAGGTTTCGGGATAAAATCAACTTACTTATTATGGTAATCTAAACGTGCAAGAATACCAGTATCCAGACAATTCAATGTAGTAATTTTCGGTTTACCACCCCTACCTTAAACGACATTTTTTGCGGACTGGGCAAATCTGAGTCTAATCGAACAATTTAAGAGAGGATTATGAAAAGCACGGCAAAAAAACAACAACAGAATGATTCCAAGAATACAAGAAAGGTTGCGTAGTATCTGATTCACCTGATAAAATTTCATAGAAAATGGATATTTTGGCTGCTTTACACAGTGCCGTCAGCCAAGATGCGCGAATTTCGTTTTTATATCAGACACGGCGAAATATTTACGGAAGATACCAGATCTTTTCCTTCATGGGGTACATATCTACGCGGAATATGCTCATCCGCACACTAATTTGGCTTTCACGGGAGGTGAATCTGAATCCAACTTGGATCTCCCTCTTATGTTACTTCTCACCTAAATGAACATCACAAAGGTTACCTCAAGATTCATTTGGTGCGCTATTTCATTGTAGGATATTACTCGCGAGTGAAACCATCTCGACGGCTTACGATCGGTTGTGCCTTCTCAAAGCTCATCAGGTGGGCGCAGTTTCTCAAGTTCCTCTAACCTTCTGTTATACTTGAACTCAAATTGTACGGACTTGGCGAAGTGTACTCATTTGCACGCTAATTCGGTCTTAACATGAGATCCAGCTGGAACATATTCACCTGGTCTCAGCTGACTCCATCATTAGAACCAAACCGGTGTGCGAATGATTGTATTCCGGGATTTTTGCACAGTTTGGGTCCGAGTAGAATATAGGCTTGACCGAAACTAGGAGAGCGTACCTACCTGGTTATGCTTGAGCGGTCGCGGGCTGCCGAAAAATAGGTTTCCTGAAGGTTATGTATCTATTTGAGAGAGACGATAAATGTGGAGTACCTCGCATGTCTCTTGTACCTGATAAACGAAAATTCAAGCGCCTTTTGGTGTTCCCAACTGCTCCCTTCTGCTGGATTGTGGTTTCGAAAAGTTCGGTACCTATGCATGCAGGGAACTGCTGTAGAATAGATAGGATAGATATTAATAGTACATTGTCGGTAGATATACCACCATGCTTGTCGTTGAGGCCGAAAACGAGATGTGATTGAAATTGTAGCAACGGCGAGGGCTGAAGCAGTTGTTGGAAACTCTAGAAAAATGAGTCTTTGTATGTTGTTTGATATTACTCTCTATCTTCGGCAACTTTATCACACATTGCTAATGTGTTACGTGTTCAACCGAGCTGCTTCAATCCTGTTCATCAGCGCTGTTGACGTAAATGAATGAGGAAGTAGTAGTGTTGAAGATATCGTTCAGTTTTTTTAACATACAGGTGTATGCGAATGGAAAAGGGTTTTGTCATTGAGGTTCTTCCACTTGGGGACAAATCCACCATGTCTGGCGTAGTAATGAGGAGCACGCACCCTCTAACAGGAACTGAAACGGAATAACGATCATCCTAAAATTGACGTTTTGAGTAAGACCTGTTTAGTTATGAGTGAATGAAGAATTTAACCTTGTGTTCGGTTGATTGAATGCCAGTATAATAGACGTTGTGTTGTAAAGCTTTGAATAATTGATTTTTCTAGCTACATCAACTGTTAAGTTGACCAGAAGTTATTCGCCTGGTTCCTATATTGAGCTACCCAATTCATCTTTCATCACTAAAATCCTATTACCCGCTCAGAGCTATCTGGACTTCTTTTGTTAGCATTTTGATTAGCTTTCCGATTTGTTGATCGGGAGACAAAAACACGAGACAGCCTTGTGCGCGTGATGTCTGTGAGATCTGGATGCGATGTGGAAAATAACTGGGCTTTTTATCCTCGCAACTCCGGGGTGGCGGTGGAGAAGTTAATAGTGTGCAACTTTTAATTTTGTCCCAGACGGAGGTCTTTTTGCTTCAACTTTAATTATGACGTGGCAACTCAATTTATGTACAGGCAATCAGCGTACCATGATGGACACTCGGACCTATCCCCTGTTTTCGGTCCTTCTTACAGCACGGGGGCAAGATATCATGACCTACATCGGCTATTTTGTCAAGTACTTAACAGCTGTTGGATGATTTGTGGTTCTGACTTCATTCCCAACTTGAGTTCCCCACAACTGGCACATTCTATTGCTAACTGGCTCTGGTATTGACAACCCATTAGTTGCTCATATACATTGGGAAAGGTCATCCATGTCCCAGTGGCCGTTAACTGAGGTCAAATCTGGACAAATTGGCTTCAGAAGAAGTGGAACTAAATTAAAGCTAGGTGACTAATTAGGGAGATTCTCAGTGAGCTTCGAATAGGCACTGGATTCTACTGTGGTGCTGTGTAACATCAAATTTTGCTCACAACTTGAGGGCTGAGAACTGACCAAAATAACTGTTGAGAAAGATGTGAGTACACATGATGTTCTCTTCCTCATTATGCCATTATTATTACCTCATTTTGCGTATTATTCCCAAAACACGGAGGGTCGTCTACCGCAGCATGAACTGGAAGCTACTTTACCTTTGAGGACACTTTGTCCCTCTGAACTATGACCGCTCTTTTAATGTGATGGGTTTGGCTGTTTTT